TCTTCTGACCTCTGCAGCATTGCACAACATGGGCGCACTCACATACATGCAGGCTATACACTCATACAAATCAAAATAATGAAATATTTTTAAAAGAAACCAAATAATAGATAAATAAATTTCCTGTGTGTTTCTGCTTAGAGCTCCCACCCCCACCTCTCTGTTTTTCTGAGACGGGGTCTCCCTATGGCCCCAGATGGCTTGGAACTCACTATGTAGAAGAGGCTGCCTTCAGTCTCACAGAGATCTAGCTGTCTCTGCCTCCTGAGTGCTGGGATTAAAGCCATGCACCACCAGGTCCGGTCTTCAGAGGTTTCTTATTTAACGTGCGTTGCTGACTCACTGGCACTGAACCTGCAGCCCACACACTCTGCATCCATCCTGAGCAAAGCCTCACTAGCACAGACCTTGCTCTGAGGCCCACCACAGCCTTTCTGTGCTCAGTGCACTAGAGAGCTCTCCAGCCACATTCCAGGCCATTTCACATTATTTCTTGGTGTGTTTGTTTATTTATTATTTTTACTAAGTTAATTTTTTGACAATCTCATGCATGGATGTAATGCATTCTGGTTACTCACCGCCCCCACCATCTCCTCTCACCTTCACACCCCTGTGGACCACCATCCCCACCAGTCCCTTTCCCAAATTCATGACTTTTGGGTTTGTTGTGGAACTAATTTAGTTTAACCTGGGTCAGCTGTGTGACCACTGGATTGGGACGGTCCATGCAGCCTGGTGGAGTCACCAGTGGGTGTACAACTGAAGGCAATGACTCTCCCTTTCCCTTTAGCTGTCTGTAGCAAACGGCTCAGCATCAAGGAGTAGGGTCCCCTAAGCCCCTCCTTGGTCTTGCCTGGCTGTTGATGGCCCTGTGAGGTCATCCCTAGTTGTTGGGAGCTCATGATTGCAATGACTGTGTGTTACACAAAGGTCACATTTCCCAGCCCTTCTTGTCCATATTTCCAGGTCTTACAGTCTCCCTATCTGGTTTGGGGCTGAGCCTTCAGTGGTCGCTTACTCCAAGCACCTTATGCAGCCATGAGTCGCTATGTTCACCACAGTTCACTGGAAAGAGAGGCGTCTCTCATCAAGGCTGAGAGTGGGGACTGACAATGGGCATATACATATTTAGAAGGCAGTTCAATGTTATGGCCATTAAGCTAACCCACAGATTGGTGTTGCTCCCTAGGGCCTATGACCTCACCAGCCATGGACCTTTAAGCAGATCTACAGTGCTAGTTATGTATCCCCGCCTATGGAGTGGGCTGCAAATCCCATTAGGAAATGGTTACCTCAAAACACTTGTGCGACTACTGTACACATGGGTGCATCTTGATTGTTAGATTGATACTATTTGTAGTGCTCACAGCTGGGTTAAGACAATTGTACCTTTTCTCCCCTAGAAACTGGCATAGCACCTTTCAACACTATGAAAGGCAATTATCTTTATTTCTAGTTCTGTGTCTCTCTGGCCAGCAGGGAGGAGGCTTCCAACTCAGTTCCTACTTGACTTCTCTATATCATGCAACCAAAGTGTGTGGAATCTTCAACAATAGAGTCCCATAATCTAGTTCTATTGTCCAACCAAAAAACATGACAAAAACCTGTATTTGGGGGAGGGGAGGGCCGTTCTGTCAATTTCATGTTTGCATTACTCCTGATCTGTTGGGATTATAAAATACAAGACAATTATCTTTACCTCTGTATTCTCTCTCTCTCTCTCTCTCTCTCTCTCTCTCTCATCATCATCATCATCATCATCATCTGTGACTGTCTCCATCTGTAACTCCTCTATGTGCAAAGGTAAGGCATGTAAGGATTCACCATAGATTTCTACATTTGAGGCCAGGAAAGACTAGCAGTGTAATGTTTGAGATAGAGGCCATTATTTTTTTATCATCCTTTTCATTTCCTAAAATACAGATAGATCATGTTCATAATTTGATAAATATAAAAAGAAATTAAAAGAAGGTAATAGCTTACATGGCCCTCAACTAGTGTGGGGCAGTATTAGGGATGTGCAGCATCACAGGGAAATTTGCTGGTGAGTTTTGGGAAAGAGACTGGGGATTCATGGTGAAATGCCTGGGGGAGTGCAGAGTGTTTTCCCTAAGGGGCAGAATGGAAGGATTCCTGTGGCTCTTGTCATTTCTGCTCCTGTTTTGGTCAAGCCAACAGTACAGGAACTCTTTAAAAACAGGAAGACAAGAGCCTCATTTGGCAGCTTTGTCTTGTTCTTTGAGACTGCTCCTCATTGAACTGTAATTGGTTCTCAGGGGTCTCCTGGTCCCCTTCCAGCCTTCCCTTGTGATATAAGGGCCCACTGTAAAAGGGCGGAATGGCATAGAACTAGAAGAGGGCGTGGAGGCTGGAGAGAATGACTCAGGTGGAGAATGGCAAGGCTAATATTTCTAATCAAGACCCTGTATTATTTCACATTGAGTTCAAAGAAGGACATCCCACCACTCCGAGCCTTCAGCAAACCTTAGCACATGTTCAGTTTTGTCTTTAGAGAGCAGGACTGTTAATGTCAGGTGAGCTTCCTGTTTGTGCATAAATTTTTACGATTAGTTCATAGGTCCTTTTAAAAAGCTAAAGTATTGGTTTGGACAGCCATTTCTCCTCTAATTTCAATTAACCTAGAGAGCCCAAAAGTCTCCTTTTGACTGGTATTTCAGGAAGCGCCCCCATCCTTCAGGACTCTAATGTTGCTGTTCTCTTCCTCAGATCTTTAACTCCTTCTCCCTTCATGCCTGGCTATTTAGAGAGAGGGGCCAGATCCCCAGGCTCTCCAGGCTCTGGTTAATGTGCTGCATGCACACTTTCACACTGACATTCTTGAGTTTGTGTTTGTCCTCCTCACAGCATGGAAACACTGAGATATAATTAAGATTATATGATTTCTTCCAAAGACACACACACACACACACACACACACACACACACACACTTGTCTTTATTTTGTGATAATGGCAAAAATATTTGAAGAGTTAACTGATTAAAAACCAATCTAAATTAAATTTTGTTGCTTATTGTTTACAAAAATAATATAGTTATCAGATAGTGCAAAGTATATAAGAAAATAAAATCTTGCTTCTTAAAGATAAATTAGAAATTACAGGCAGTGTGCAGTCTCTAATCCCTCTTCTTGGAATGGGTTTGAATTGCTTTGACAGAAGAGGTGGTGACTTTAACTGAGGACTCTAAGCATGTCAGATTCTGGGTTGGACGAGAGCTTTGGCTCTAACCTAAAGTTGTTTGTGAGTCTGTGTTCTTTAGACAATAGACATATATTTGTCAGTATTTTCATTTTCTGGCTAGTTAATATGAAGAAATTCATCTTCATTGCAAACTTATTCTGCCGTTTTCTGTAGATTCCAACTTCAAATTCAGCTATCATCCTTGGAGTTTCGCAACTGTAAACCCAGCAGTATCCGCTAGTCTGGAACCTGTTTCACCCACCCTGCTGCTGCTGTGTGTGTTCTCATTTTTTTTCTATAGCCTTCACATCGCACAACCTTTTTTCTTCCTCTTTCTCCTACTTCTCACTCTTTGAATAACAGTTTTAGAAATGTCTGAAAATGTTAGATGAACTTTCTTATGTGAAAATAACTGTCATATGGGGAACACACACACACACACACACACACACACACTAGCGATACAAGTATAAACAGAAAAGAGAAGTTTTCTTTTGTTTGTGGTTGACTAGCTTACATGAGTGTAGTTTGTTTGTGGTTGACTCGCTTACATGAGTGTAGTTTGTACCATCTTGACCCCATTCGGAAGGTGTTTTTCTACCATAATCATCACATAGTATTTGTACATCACTTTCTGCTTTCATGGTCATTAAAGCTGGCACTTTCCCTGGACAAATCAAACTTTCTGCTTTCATGGTCATTAAAGCTGGCACTTTCCCTGGATAAATCAGCATTCAGTATTTGTTCCTTGGAACAATCAAGGTAAGTGGCTGGGGATGTGCAACTGGTGCATTTTACACATTGGACAAGGGCTGCTACTGTCTTCAGGAAGCTTCCCTGAACTGGATTCCCACACCCACAACCTGATTCTGGGTTTCTTTTTCTTTCCCAAGCCTCTCCATCCCTGTGTTTTTATCACATTTTAACTCAGAGTTATTGACTAAGCACCAACCTATACTTCTAGGTGGTTATTTTAATAAGATTCTAAAAACTGGACACTGGATGGCTACCCAGTGGGGCATGATGCTCACATGGGAGTGGGATAGTGATAAAGGAACAGATAGAACTTGTTGAGGATATTGATGCCATTTCAGAGAATGCAGGATGGGGAGAAAGAGGCTATTGTAAGGATGGCTAAGAGACAGTGACCTGGGATTCCAGCAGGTTTTCAATTCACTGCCAGAGTGTTGGCTGTGGCTGTGGAGGCCGAAAGTTTGTTGTTGAAGGACACATCTAGCAGGCATTTGGAGGACATTTCATGGTGCACTTGAAAGAAACTGATAGATTATACAGATCAGGGTGTTGGAACAGTGTGACATAAACAACAGATGGGATTAGTGTGTTAAAGGATTGGAAGCATTAGAGGTGTAAGCACAATCAAAAAGTTCAGGGAGAAAGAGAGCTGAGAAGCAATGATTTAAAAATGAGCATGGCAAATACAGACTAGTTTAAGCTAGTCTCATTTGGAACCTTCTCTGTTGTCTTTCATGTTTTAGCCTCATCAACCTTAGGATTGCTCTCTAAGACAGAGACACACTAAAATTTCTCCACTCACTGCCAAGCAGAATACTCGCTAACTCATGGAACGTGTCTCCACAGGCAGCCAAACCGTCACACTGTTTGTGCTCCTGGGTTTCCATGATGTCCCTGAGTTGCACCTCCTGCTCCTTTCTGTGCTCACCGCTGTCTATGCCTCTACCATAACTGGAAACACCTTCATCGTGGTGGTGGTGCTCAACTCCCACAGGCTTCACATGCCCATGTATTTCTTTCTGGCCAATCTGTCTGTCATGGAGATCCTCTACGCTTCCACAGCAATCCCCAAAATGCTGGAAGGCTTCCTACAGGAGGCTGCCATCTCTGTGGCTGGCTGCCTGGTCCAGTTCTTCATCTTTGGCTCTCTAGCCACAGATGAGTGTTTCCTTCTGGCTGTGATGGCCTATGATCGCTACCTGGCCATTTGTCAGCCCCTGAGGTATCCATTCCTGATGGGGCCTCGGTGGTACCTGGGGCTGATGCTCACAGCCTGGCTGTCTGGCTTTATGGTAGATGGACTCATTGTTGTTCTGATGTCCCAGGTGATGTTCTGTGGCCCCAACCACATTGATCGCTTTTACTGCGACTTCTCCCCTTTGATGGGCTGGGCCTGGCTTGCTCAGATACTGGAGTGGCCCAGATGACGACATTTACTCTTTCTGTGGTCTTCATCACTGTCCCCTTTGGACTGGTTCTGGTCACCTATTCTCGGAATGGGGTTGTGCTGAGAGTCCCCTCTGGGGCCAGCAGGACAAAGGCTTTCTCCACATGTTCCTCTCACCTGGTGGTGGTGTCCACATTCTACGCAAGCCTCAGGGCCTTGTACATTGCACCCTCTGCTATCCACTCCCAGCTCCTCCCCAAGGTCTTTGCCCTGCTCTACACAGTAGTCACCCTGATCTTCAACCCTGTTGTCTATACCCTGAGGAACCAAGAAGTTCTTCAGGCACTAAGAAGGCTTCTCTGCTGCAAACCAATTGAGGTGTGATGGGGGCCAGGGAGCGGGGAGGGTTTCTTTTGTGTTTACAACATCTCCACTGAGCGGTCTCCCACTATGGGCAGGAGTTGAGGAACTTTGTAGGTTTTCAGCATTCCCGTTGGCTCTTCTGGGTTATGCTCAGATGGAAGACTGTAGTCCGTCAATTTTCAAGTATTAGTTTAAAAATTATGTGACCTTATGTGAGTTCTTTACTGAACATACCATAAAACCTTTATTTGATCATCATACACTGCAGACATGTACTGAATTATCACAGTGCAGTCCATCACGATGAACAACACTGCTACTAATTAATGAAAAAGAAATTACAAAAACAAAAGAGTAATGCTGAAACAAATCTAGAAATAAAACTCATTTACATTATTGAAGCATGACATTTTATAAATAAAATCATTTTAATTTACTCAACAAATAAAAACAACACAGCTGGTTTAAGAAAGTCACTCAAACATTTGACAAGTCCCAGACTATGAATCTCTGTGAATTTCCACGTGGTTAGAATACAGTATGACATTTGAAACTTTCGTGTGTGTGTGTGTGTGTGTGTGTGTGTGTGTGCGTGTGCATGTGCGTGCATGTGCACATGCATATGTATGCTAAAAAAATGGATAATGGAGTTTTCAATCTGTTTTTCAAAAAAATAATGTGCAGTAGATAACCCCCATTACAATGACAAACAAACAAAATGTTAAGGAGTGCTGCAATGTATCTGTCAGTAAAACATGGACATATTATGTTCCCTCCGTCCTGACTACTGCTATCGATTGTCAGCCTCACTAGTCTCCTGACCTTGTCCTTGCTATTTGATCTCTGTAAACTTCACAATTCCCTATGCTTGGGTTCACTTTGACAAGCTTTTGCTCAGTGGTTTCCAGTGTCAGTTGAAGGATGAATATTTAGAGAAAGAAAGATTTGAATTCACTAGATCTCAGGGGACCGAAGAGCCTGTATCTAAGGCCAATGAGGATGTTGAATTGCATTATATGGTTATAATTTTGTGAGAAATAACTGCTGGTCATATGCTGTGAATAATGTTTAAAATTGAAGAAAAGATAAGTTCTAGATGACCCAGAAGAGTCTAAACCAAGACATAGGTCAGACAAAGAAGCTAAAAAGAGAACCTCTGGGAGGTTCAGTCATGCCCTTGCTAAGGCAAAGCTGCTTCTGATCCCTGTGTTGAGCTCTTCTCCTGAATGGAATTAATCACCATTAATCAGTTACAGGTGATTGTGAAGCGCTGCATGGGTGCTAAGAACTAAACTCAGGTACTTTGCAAAAATACCAAATGTTCCTAGTTGCTGATTCATCTCTCCAGCCCCAG